GCAGTGCGGGAAGGGCCTATTATGTCTGGCGAAAGCCTAGGGTGGCGAACCTCAACGCGCCCCTTTGTGTCCCGCAGATCCTCCAAGGCAATCAATATCCCAAGAGAAATTTTGAATGGAAAACACGAACAGAAAAACCGATCGAAGATGCGATTATACCCATCGTTTTAGTCTCGCAGAGTTGTCAGTTTTTATGGACAAGTTGAGGGGTCGTTACACGATAACGGGTATGGCAGCGTCGCGGTTTTCTTTTGTTGTTTTTGAGTATGCAGGCCACTTCATTTAAATTGAAAATAAATATGGGTGAAAACAGTTGACATATCGGCGGATTAAGTCCTCAACCACGTATCTCATCGGTTTGCGACGTTATAGATATGTTGTAATTCTTAAGAACGGCCGTGGTTTTCTCACTGTGCGAATACAATTCTGCGAAAACTTCATGGAATGATGTCGATTTGTTCTCCTCTATGAAAATAAATGAAATGGGAGAGGAGATATTCCTACACCGCGAACGAGATATTTGGTTGCGGACTTGCGGCGTCGATATTTGTGACTCTACATAGGTTCATATGATAAAAAATATGAGGAATTATCACTAGGTACGGATATCACAAACATTGGCACCGTCGTTGGCACCGATACCAACAAATTTTCCGTCGGCTCAGAAAACGACACGACAGTTTGTGGTCTTAGATTCTTACTTATCATAATTATTCTTGTTTCTTTTGTATAAACTCATGCAAGGTCACAAAATCAAAATTTTTCAAACAATAATTGTATTTTTCTTTCAAATTAATTTATCCTGGATTTTTGTATTATTTCCGTTAACGTTAATTAACCCGCGTATGGTAAAAACTGAAGATGAAGTTATTTTAAGTGGTTTTTTTAAAAAAAATTATCATTATCTTCCAAAATTTTGCCGAGGAATGACAAATGGATAATAGATGTCTTTACGTGTACTTAAATGTTCATCATACTCAATTAATCACCGGAGCATATCTCAGTAATATCTTGTGATAATGCTCCGTGTGGTTCGACGGTAGGACTTGAGTACATGAAAAGTCAGGGTGCCTACAATTTTTTGTGTATGGAACACGGACAACCATCGAGTACGAATAGTGGCATCAGATCAAGGCGTTAACCTATCATCACAACACACCAAGATCGTGAAAGTCTTAATCAAGTTCCTTCATTTGCGACGTTACAGATTTTCTGTTATGTTACCTATATTATCTTCAAAGGGAAACTAAGTAACTATCCACATCCAAACCAAAGTTTTTCTATGACCGGCCTTTATCCGATTTAGAAGATCGATGGCTAATAAGGTCGAAAGTTCTCGCGGTGACGTTTGAAAGTTTCCGCTTTTGTTTCATTTTTTTTTATGAGTGATCTTATTAGCAGTTTTTCTATACTTTTCTGCTAATCTCCTTCACTCGTTCGAAAATATTCAGACAATCGTGAGGAAATATATTTGGTAGATTTCTATAAAAATGAATAAATAAATAAATAAACGAACGAAATCTGAGTTTTTTAACCATTGCTATGTAGGTAAGTGTTTTTTTTTTTTTTTTTTTTTTGGTGGGGGGGGGGAGGGCTTTAGCCATCGATATCATGAGAAAATTTCAAATAACCGAGCTCATTTTTTCCCTTTTGAAACAACAAAAAACTGAAATAGCTGGATCTGAGATATTGCAAATCTCTAAGTAACATGATTCTTCTTTAATGAAGGCCTGCTCAACACTTTCAGACAGAATTTTGTTGAATTTTTCGTTGTTTTGTCAAAAAATTCTCCGATGATTCCGGCGAAAAAATATCTAGCAATGTTCATCACTCCAAATAAGATATGAGCAGAAATTTTCAAACACCGCAATCGAGATCTGTGTTACGGTAGTTTCGCCATCGATATTCTTCGGGATGATAGAGTATTTTCGCCGCTGAAAACTAATACAGTAATTTTTAAACCCTGCAGCTAAACTTTTGTGAACAATGTAAAACATCCAAATTTTATCGCACGACCTGGTAACCTTGGCATTACTGTCAGATAGTGCTGAAAAATCACGCCACTTTGCCATATTTGAACCGATGTAAAATATCCAGATTTCATCGCACGACCGGGCAACGGTGTGTAGTGGTGGAGGTCCTCCTTATAAACGAAGTCACCGGGTGATTTTTCTTTTTTTTTTTTCAAAAATGTTTCGGACACCTTGAAGTTCAGTTCAGCGAACGAAATCTACCAATCAATAACACCACGTACATATTGATAATTCGGCGGCGGGCTGGAACTTTCTCATTACTGAGATGGAATCTCTGGATCGTTTGGGAGGCCTCGCTGAATATCAAACAGAGAGCTCTCGAATGAATGATTTGTGAGAGTTACCTGTTCCAGAGCTCCGTTGGGGAGGAGATTAATCTTACGTTTTTGACTAGCTCCCGTACGTGCGCTAGGGAGTAAAAATTGAGCCATTTTTCATTGCTGCAGATCACAATTATTGAGACACTTTGAGCTCTCAATCGGGCCTCTACTGCCTCCTCTCGCCTCACATATTCTTAATATCATAATATTTCACTTACACATGATGTAAACTGAAAATGTGTTCGCATTACTTTCACAAAATTGTGAAAGTATTTCACCCTGAAGCCTCACTTCCTTAGTCACCAAAGGATCCAATGCTTCCTAGGAAAAATTCCAGTATATTGCCGTCAAACCATTCCAAAGGAAATGAAGAAAATTGGTGATAGAGACCTAGCAACCCTTCTATTGAATGAATAAATAAATTTTTTTGGCCGAACATGTTTGTCAAACTGAATAAGAATTGCCTTATTTTACGGTGATTTACGCGATACCTCGATAAAATGTTGCATTTTGTAGTAGGAATCCACTCCACGTTCGCCACAGCATGCTGAAAATTAAATGTAAAAAATAGATTTCTATCAAAGTTGTCCCTCCTCACGAGACGTAAAGACTTCGGCTGTCTTTTTTGTTTGGCACGATATTGACTTTCCTCCGAAAATTAGTTCATATCGGTCGAATGCACTAAACTGAAAGGAACGAAAGAATATTTTAGATGAAAATGATTTTAGAAGAAGTGATGATTTTCTCCCATGAAAAATTTGTAGCTACATTTTAGCAGCATATAACGACTTTGGAGGGATCAGCCTTTTTCGGTCGTTATGGCCTATAGTTGTCATAACAGATAGTTAGATTTTTACGCATTCACCTTAAATTGAATAGCTGAGAGTAAAGCTACGCTGGCGCTGGGGATGATTTTTTTTTTTTGGTGTCATTCACTCATTACAACTCTCACTCATTGACTATATGTCTTCATTTGCAATAGAAGAAACGCCGCTATTGTTTACTCTACATTTTCATTTTTTAAAGATTTCTTTAATATTTTATTTTATTTTATTTTATTTTATTTGTAGGTACACTGGTGTTTGTCACACGCAGTGTACGCTGGTCAGGAATTGGCAGGCCGCGGGCGGTAGGTCTGACACCGATAAATTACGAATATTCAACGATACAGCGCGCAACTGCGTGTAGGCGCACTACGTAAAGTACGCACAGCCTTTAAGGCGCTAATATGCGTTTCAGGCCGACCGAGCGAGCCGGCCGTAGACGCCGCCACGCCGTAGTGTGTTTGGCGCAATGCGTGAAGTATTCACACGGTCTTGTAGGCGCTAATATGCATTCCGCACCGTCCCAGCCAACCGTACTGTGTTTTGCGTGAAACTTTGCGACGTTGTTTTGCGATTACGTCCACGAGGACTTTGACTGTCTCGATTATTTTCGGCAGGAGACTCGATGTTTACCGCGCCAAGAACGCCAACGCCTGAAAAAAACCATTTCGTTCAACTTTTTATTTTTCGCTCGTCGAGCGAATACATACCCTCTCATCACACGCAGACTACCTATCATACTCTTTTTTTTTTAACTGAACAATTCGCCTTCTGCTGCGCCCACAGCAATTGTTGTTACGAATATGTTGTGCGTGCTGATTTCAGCTCATTGCATACTTGACTCTCTGAAGGCGTTTAATGTGCGAAAGTAGAGCACCCTGTTGGAGAACAACAGAAGTGAGATTGAATAAATCGCTCACTCTTACTTCGTTTGTTCTCCGACAGATTGCGCACATAAAACGCCTTCAGAGAGTCGAGTATGTAGTAGTCTGAAATCAGCACGCACAACATATTCGTAACAACAATTGCTGCACACGCAGCTGAAGGCGAATTGCTTCTGCACATAAAACGCCTTCAGAGAGTCAAGTCAATGAGAATCGATGAGCTTAAATCAGCACGCACAACATATTCGTAACAATAATTGCTGCGGGCGCAGCAGAAGGCGATTGTTCAGTTTATAAAAAAGTATGATAGGTGGTCTGCATGTGACGAGAGGGTATGTCTATGTGTTCACTCGACATGAATCGAACGAAAAATAAAAAGTTGAACCGACCAACACCGATTCAATGGACAAATAAAAAAAAAACCGGATCAAAATCAGTAGGTATAGAAAACTTACATTTACTTTGAAAATTTCAAATTACGATAGGTATCTCGAAATTAGGATCAGCTAAGATTTTGATTTTTCGCGATTTTAAATTCACACGTACCATAGATTCAGCCCTTGCAAACCGTTTTTGGGTACATTTTTGTCGCATTTTTTTTTCGCTTCAAGACTTCTGTGTATGATGCTTCACATGTTAAGGAACGCCTTAAACCTCATTCTTTAATCACAATGTAAACCATATGGGACCCCCTATAGAAAGGCGCTGTCTGAGGAACGACCCTCACAACAGCAAAAAACGGTTGAGGCCGCTTTCCTCTCATCACTATGCAAGACACACTATGGGTCTCATCACTATGGGTCCTGTTGATCCTGATGATTTGCACCACTTTAAAACTATCACTATACCACTATCATTTCTGTAACTTTCATGTCTTTTTATCTGTCATGTAACTTTTTTTGATCAACATTAACTGTGTATAATTTTTGTTTGTTACAGAGTCCTGTCAACACCTTTGATACCGGTAGATCTGGCATCTTGCTGTGTGCTCCAAAGTTTACTTGCAAGATTCATACACAACAGCACAGCGTACAAACTTTATTCCTATACTCATTTCTAGAGTATTCACCAAATCTGGGAGGGTTCCTTTATAGCAACCTTCAAACAACGATTTTGTACAGATGATTACCTACTATTTGCCTTTAAGGTCATTCTATTGGACCAGAAATTAATTTGTGGACCTTGATCTCATTTAGTAAAATAAGTGTCATTGTATTAATCCTACAATTGACTATATAATGGCAAATTTTAACAGGTGGATAAAACTCGCCCTAGAGAAATGTTTATACCTACACTTAACTTTTCTGATTCAGGCTAAGTTGACGTTACCTATTATTTGGTACTGTGAAATGCTGATGGTCGCAGTGAAACTTTAGTAAAGAATACACAAGAGTGGAATAATTAAGTGAATGAAAATTTGCTATCTCGGCATCAATTTGTGAGAGGCTTTTGGCGAATCTTGAAAAGGCCGTGGTCAATTTTGGCAAAAGCAGAATTGAAAAATTATTGTGCAAATCTGGGGTCTATCCGACCATGTAAATATAATTGATGTGTCATTAAATGTAGGTACTCAGATAGTATATTAATCACTTCTTTGTAAAGATATTTTGTTAAACAAATTCTTGTTGTTTAATTTTTTTAAAAAAAATAGAATAATAAAAAAAGTGTGAAGCTATGGAGCAATTATTTTTTTCCCTATTTCCCTTGCCTCTTTTCCTAGCCAACAATGAGCTGCCAAAAGAAATCCAAGCGAATCAAATGGAATAAGCAATTCAGTATTGAAAGGAACTTTAAAGTAAAAAAAAAAATAAATAAATAAAAGAGCTCTATTAGTAATTTTTAAAATAATTCAGTCTTACATATTTTATAGTTTTAACAGGACAATATTGCTCCTTCCTTATCTTTAATTTGATTTTCCAATTGTCTTTCTTTCCTTATTCATTCAGCTCACAGTTATTTGCCTTGCTTTTTCCGTTAGTTTCAGTGTCCTTTTCATTTCTTTGGGTTTTGCGAGTACCTATTCATTCTGAAGTATTTATAAAAGATACATTTAATTAAAAAAAAAATCGAAGGGATCTTAAAATAACTTCGTGAAGGAGAATTTCTCAAAATTCCATAATTAAACTCTGTTGAAACGCCCGACAACTAGAATTTTTACACATATTTTGGTGATGAAATGAAGAAGCTCACTTAATTTTTTATGCATGATTTTACCTAATGCATGATTTTACATCTGCAAGGGTAACGCAGAATATCATCATCGATTAAAAAGATTAAAAAACCTTTATTTTTCCTTGTGCTTAGTATTCTAATCCATATAAAAGAGAGAAGTACACAAAAGCAACTAAAAAACTAGAAAAATATAAGATTCTTTCATAAAAACGTGAAAAAATATAGATTTGACAGATTTTAACACTTAGAAACTATGAAAAATGACACATAAAAATGAGAGTTTACAGGTGTACAGTTATTTACTAGACCATAAAAAATAAAATTAAAGCTCGTAATTAGAAATAGAGCTTATATCATCCTGTAAAATATTTATAGAATTTGACACTTGCTGATGTAAAAAGTCTACTTGCCTCAACATTACCTATATATGTGAGCATTTTTTTATAATAGGAATCTTGAGGTGAAACATCGCCATTTATACCTCCATTTCTTACAGAAAGGCTGAACTACATTTTTTCTTGGACCTCTTCTTACGAATTAGACTCATCAATAGCTAAAGTCTAAAAATGTATGTCTCCAGTTTAAAAGTCACAAAACCTTTAAAATTTTTTAAAATTTCTCTCATTCAAAGTATCGGGCAGATCGTTTCTTGGATCACATACGTCCATACTCTCTGAAAAAAGGTACTTTAAAATATCCATTGGAAATTTCAAGAAGCTCATTTGGTAAGATTCCTCTTAAAAAATGAAACATAATCTGAGATTTTTTTAGGTAACTGAGTTATACATTTGTTGACTTCAGCTATCACTCTGCATTTAATCTGGATATTTGCCATCAGGATTTTGACAGTAAATACACAAAATATTAAGAATAAAATCCCTAAAATTTAAAAACTCAATCTTTCCTTGCTTAATTACGTATCCGCTAATAGATAAAATATACCCATTGTAGGAAGTATGCAACTACATGACTTTTTTTTGCTTTGATTTAACTAATTTAAAATTTTACTTTAACTTTGATAATAGTTTTTAGTTTAAATATTTAAAATGTTTGTACATTTTAGGTATAACACAGCATACAGGTATTAAATGCTAATCAAAGGTTTACGAACAATCAACTTACACAAAAAAAGAACTTAGGCAAAAAATACTTCATCTGATGATGGGTCATGGAAAAACTATAGGCTCTATCGTCGAATTTGAGATTCGTCTTCTCAAAATATTAATTAAAAAATGTTTGGAAACTTCAAGAAAATAACGACAGACAGCTTTCTAACAGGAACACAAAAAATTCTAAATCATGGGAATCTAAATTTCATGTGACGTAATAAAAGGCAGGCAAAGCTTAAAAAGCCTTAAGGTTTTTTTTTTTTTTTTTTTTTTTTAAAAAAAACGAAAACACGTAATAGTATTGCAAATGCTCCTGTGCATTTTTGAAATTTTTACTTGATATTTTGAATTTTCAAATAAAAAATTCGGAAGCTTTTCCTCAGAGCTCCAAGATGATATGAGAGGAAAACACCGTGTGCATCCCTGTCTTCACTAAAAAGTAAAGACAAAATACATAGAAATACAAAATTCCCTTGTCGAAAATTTTTGGAAAAGAAAATTGAAACTTCACCATCACACTACGACAGTGAAAATAATTGAGCAACTGTACTAAAACTATGAAAATTGAGACTGGTTTCGGAAAATTGAAATTGGAAGTAAATAACTTCGACCAAGAACATTTTAAAAGACCAAGAAACAAACAAACCAACGAACAAATAAAGAAAGAAAGGAAGAAAAAAAGAAAGAAACAAACAAACAAACAAACAAAAAAAACAAACAAACAAAAAAATGAACAAACAAACGAGCAAGCAAGAGAATAAAATTCTGACAAGTTAACTTAGCATAAAACACAGTTTTATGGAGTACGAATTCACAGTAACCATAATTTAATTGTAAATCAACAATGACATTATTTTCTATTCAATGATTTGAATTAATTAAAATTACAAGATTACAAAACTGCAAGAGCTCTTTTTCACATTAAAAGAAAAGACTACCCAAGAGAATACTCCTAAAAAAAAAAACCTTTGGTCAATCAAAACATTAACCTGAGAGGCTTCGTAGCAAACTTTTTGTGCAATTTTAAGCAAACTAGTTTTCAAAAATTTAGTGTCATAAGTGCTGAGATCCTGATGAAAGTATAATGTTTACCTTGTCTTGATTAAAATTATTCCCTACTCTAGTGAGACTTCCCTTCAGTTCTAAGCTTTCCTTCAAATTCAATTGGTCTTCCCCCAATTCTATCAACCTTCCCCATTTTAGATCAAAACTCATGATTGCTTCCCCCAGAGGAAAAAAATAAAAATCTTAACACCTTATTTTAGGTGAGGATCCCTGTTTTTGTCTTATCTTCATAGAGGCTTCCCTATTACTTCCTGTTTTCACAGCGGTTTCCCCCATTTTCACACAACTGAGCTGCTCCCATAACCGGAAAATGTTTGCAACCCTATGTTATGCCCTAAAAGCCTAATAATACCCTTTTTCAGTCTAGCTAATTTAATTTTCTATTGACTACACGGAATGGGTAGTGCGTGAGTATCGAGTGTCTGGTGGCATAAATCTGAGGTAAAGAAACATACTGAAGAGTATTACTAAAGGGTAATAGGAGGTATGAAAATATTGAAATTTTTTAGTTATGTAATTCATATAGATCTTATATCTAATGGAAGAGGCACTTAAATAGTTTCATGATGTCTTAACATTTACTTGAAAAATCATACCTTCCTGCAACTTGTACGGCTAGAACTCATCCTTTAGGAACTCATGTGGGGAAAATTTTGCTCTAAATGTACTGGCCAATAAAATATACTGGACAGAGAGCCTCTGTATTGGGTGTTATTGTGTGCTGAGGACCATAATTATCAGCCGAAGCTTCTGAAATTGAAGGCAGTCGGGCTAGAACTGTTGCTTGAGCAAATTCACTGAGACCGCTACTAGCTTGAGGCCCTAAGGGACAGAAAAAGAGAAAACACCTCTAGAGTAAAATATATTTTAGGGATAATGAAAACTGCCAGTCTTCAGCATTAAATATACGGTTATTGAGTGACATTTCGTTTAATTATAATAATATTAATCAGTCTCCTTTAGAGTAAAGTGATATACCTTATGTGAATTGATCACACTGAAGAAAAGTAACTCTTTCGTTCATTTTATCTTGAAATTATTATTCAAGATTTAAGAACAGCACTTTCAAAAAATACAGCAAAAACTAATGCTAATTTTTTGGCAAGTCTAAAACCTCTTTCTCACAATGAAACCAGGTGGAGGTCTGAAAAGGCCCTTTGCCAACAGCAATATTGGCCAATGAGGACTTAAAAAGACATTGATGATCTCTTTTGAAACCTCCTATTCAATGGCATGGTTCAGAGATTTATAATTCTTACATTTTTTAAAAATAAAAAGTGCATTAATCTCACAGAGGTTTTCCAAACTTTATTTGAACGATATTAAGCCATAAAAAAAGGTTCAAAAGTGCATATTAACACTCCCTTTTAAAGGCATGTTGTTGAAAAAGATGGCATCCAAAAATATCCATACCGCCAGAGGTACTCATTAAACTGTGTAATCTTCCTGCGGTGATTCATGATCTGTACAGGTTGCATGGATTAGGGACCATGCCAAAGGGATCAGCAAGTATTTTCAGTAGGTAATCATGGCTTTCTCCACAAAGTGTGTTTAAATGGAAAATCATAATACACAACTCTGAACTCTTCTTTCTTGATTCTAGATTTCAACTGCATTAGCAAGATAACCAAAATGGTAGTTCATAGCTTCCGTATCATTCGGGTTCGTAAAGCTTCATTCTGCCCACAGTTCATGGACACCACAAACAAAAATTTTAAATTAGTGTCTTCAATCTATCCACGTTCGTGGACTCCACGAACACAAATTTTATTTTAAATAACTGAATAAATTTGGCCACAAACTTGAACTTTTAAAAACTTGGAACTTGTGCAAAATTATGCACAATGCCAAATTTATTCAGTTATTCAAAATAAAAGTTGTGTTCGTGGAGTCTACGAACGTGGATAGATTGAACACACTGATTTAAGATTTTTGTTCGTGGTGTCCATGAACTGTTGACAGAATGAAGCGTTATCCTCTGGGACTACTTTATCCAGAAATATACTCAACGATACCTACGCTTCACACTGTCCACAGTTCATGGACACCACGAACAAAAATCTTACATTAGTGTGTTCAATCTATCCACGTTCGTGGATTCCACGAACACAACTTTTATTTTAAATAACTGCATAAATTTGGCATCATACATATGTTTGTACAAGTTCCAAGTTTTTAAAAGTTCAAGTTTGGAAGTTTAAAGTCGTCCTGAAAAGTTGGAGTTCCTCATCAAAATTCATGCGTAAGCAGTAAGCACAGCTTTGAATAATTTGTGAAAACTTGGTTCATGGACTCAACGAACACCTAATATTGATTTAAGGTGTTTCTGGAGTCCATGAACACTCAGGAGTGTTCAGGGACTCCACAAACACCTTAAATCAATATTAGCTGTTCATGGAGTCCATGAACCAAGTTTTCACAAATTATTCAAAGCTGTGCTTACGCATGACTATTGATGTGGACTTGCAACTTTTGAGGAAGACTTTAAACTTTCAAACTTGAACTTTTAAAAACTTGGAACTTGTACAAACATATGCATGATGCCAAATTTATGCAGTTATTTAAAATAAAAGTTGTGTTCGTGGAATCCACGAACGTGGATAGATTGAACACACTGATTTAAGATTTTTGTTCGTGGTGTCCATGAACTGTGGACAGTGTGAAGCGTAGGTATCGTTGAGTATATTTCTGGATAAAGTAGTCCCAGAGGATAACGCTTCATTCTGTCAACAGTTCATGGACACCACGAACAAAAATCTTAAATCAGTGTGTTCAATCTATCCACGTTCGTAGACTCCACGAACACAACTTTTATTTTGAATAACTGAATAAATTTGGCATTGTGCATAATTTTGCACAAGTTCCAAGTTTTTAAAAGTTCGAGTTTGAAAGTTTAAAGTCTTCTTCAAAAGTTGCAAGTCCTCATCAAAAGTCATGCGTGAGTACAACTTTGAATAATTTGTGAAAACTTGGTTCATGGACTCTACAAACACCTAGTATTGATTTAAGGTGTTCGTGGAGTCCATGAACTCCTTAAATCAATACTAGGTGTTTGTTAAGTCCATGAGCCAAGTTTTCACAAATTATTCAAAGTTGTACTCACGCATGACTTTTGATGAGGACTTGCAACTTTTGAAGAAGACTTTAAACTTCCAAACTTGAACTTTTAAAATCTTAGAACTTATGCAAACATATACATGATGCCAAATTTATTCAGTTATTTAAAGTAAAATTTTTGTTCGTGGAGTCCACAAACGTGGATAGATTGAACACACTAATTTAAGATTTTTGTTCGTGGTGTCCATGAACTATGGACAGTGCGAAGCGTAGGTATCGTGTAGTATATTTCTGAATATAGTAGTCTCAAAGAAACTAGAGAAATGTTTGAAAGATAGTTATGTGCTTTCTCACCATCAATGATAACTTCCGCCATACTTTTGCAATATCTCAATACAGAGCGATAATACTCAGGTCTCGTATCAAGTTTATAGGAAGAATCTTTTGTAACCACCTGGAAAATAAAATTGCGACCATGAAATTAATCATTTAACAAGATAAAAAAGAGAAAAAAACAGCGTTTGGGTTTGACAGTTGACACAGTTACCAATCACTCTTATAGACATTGCATCCATCCAATCGTAGGATTAAATAATGTCCAAAGCTAACCGCTGAATCTTAAACCCTCCAGATCTCCAAGATTCTTAAGAATCAAAAATTTTGTCAGTTAAAAAATAAACATTAGAGGTTTTCACAAGAGCAGATTGAACAGCAGTAATATTTGAACCTTGAAAGGTTAAGGCATTATAATTTAATTGTAAAACTCGAAAAACACAAATATTGATGGCAGAAATGTTAAGTTTCCATCCAATTTCTATTTTTCAATGAGAAAAATTAGAATAAGATTAATTGCTGAGTATATTCTAAGAACTAGTCGTGATTAGCTCGCTTTGCGAGCTGACACGTCTAGCCGGGGAGTGCCCCTGGACCCCAGTTCTACGCTTCGCGACGAACTTGCGACTCGCTCCGCGAGCCGCCACCGCCCCGCACAGTTTTTAACATTGATGAGGAGACAACATCTATGTCTTAATCTTCTTTTTCATCAAATTGTACAGAAATTGATGTTCTGGGAGTCCGGACCGCGTTTTCGTGCGGGGCCGCCATCTTGGATTTGGAAATGTTGAAAATCGGACCTAAAATTCTAATTTCCCTTCGAAATACACCTCCTAATACCAAACTTCACAAAAATCGATGGATCGGAAGCCGAGATAACAATTTAGACCATGTTCGCCATTTTTGATTTTTGAATTTTGAAAATCGGACCTAAAATTCTAATTTCCCGTCGAAATACACCTCCTAATACCGAATTTCACAAAAATTGATGGATCGGAAGCCAAGATAGCAATTTAGACAACGTTCGTCATCTTGGATTTTTGAATTTTGAAAACCGGACCTTAAATTCTCATTTCCCGTCGAAATATACCCCCTGATACCGAATTTCACAAAAATCGATCGATATCCGGAAGCGATATACTATTTTAGGCCACGGCCGCCATCTTTTGGATTTGAAAATTTTGAAAATCTGACCGAAAATTCGAGTTTCTCGTCGAAAAATACCCCTGGATACCGAGTTTCACGAAAATCGATATAACAGGAGCCGACTGAGCATTTTAGGCCACGGCCGCCATCTTGGATTTTGAAATTTTGAAAATCTGACCAAAAATTCGAGTTTCTCGTCGAAAAATACCCCTGGATACCGAGTTTCACGAAAATCCATCAAACAGGAGCCGACTTAGCATTTTAGGATACGGCCGCCATCTTGGATTTTGAGATTTTGAAAATCCGACCAAAAATTCGAGATCCCCGTTGAAAAATACCCCCGCTTACCAATTTCCACAAAAATCCGTAGAAAAATACCGCCTAAAACCTTATATTTCGTCTATACGGCAGTGACGTCACGCAACAGGATTGAACCTGTTCGGCACGATGCGCGTAAACAACCGCGTATCTCCAATGTAATACTATATGGAGAAANTGAAAGGTTAAGGCATTATAATTTAATTGTAAAACTCGAAAAACACAAATATTGATGGCAGAAATGTTAAGTTTCCATCCAATTTCTATTTTTCAATGAGAAAAATTAGAATAAGATTAATTGCTGAGTATATTCTAAGAGTAATCTTGAGAGAAAAGTAAAAAATTCACTTGAAATTTTGTGTCCATATAATTATTAAATGGCCTTTAAAGACTTAGAGGAAAGCAATTAATTTGTTATGACGTATCGTAACCTTATGGCCAAAGTACTACAAGCACCATGCAACGCTTCAAAATTTCTGCCGCCATTTTCTTTAATTAGAGAAAAATTTCTGGTTGAATTTGCTTGAAAATTTCACTGAGTTTTATTGGCGGAACAAAGAAAATTCAGTGATGTTTTTGGACAGCTTTGTTGAACAATTTCTCTGTAGAAAATTAAATTGCAGCGGAAATTTTGAAACGTCCCATGGCGGTTGTGATACTTTGGCCAGAAGGTGACGATATGTATGTAACAGCATGATGGGGAATGAACAACCCAAACAAGTGTTTGATTGGGTTCCTCCCGGGAAGTGGCGGCATGGCCATCCAGTAAAAAGTTGGCAGCAGGTTGCGGAGGAGGTTGGCAGGAGACAGATATCAGAGGGTTTCATTTTCTTGATAATGTGTGGGTGGATAGGTTTTAATGATGATTGGGAATCTAGAATTTAGAGATTTTAATGTATACATAGAGAAAGTGAGAGACAACTGCTTACGGAAATATCTGCTTTAGAGTTATAGCAGCTGAGACCCTCCATCAGTCGAAGCGCTGGAAGAACAAACAAAATGGCTGTTGCTAGTGACGAGGCTGGGTTACCTGGTAGCGCAAAAACAAATTTTGTCTTATCCTCCCACTTCAACGTTGCAAACGTTGTTGGTTTCCTAAAAAATGGATTGACAATGTAAGTCTTTATTGATAATTTCATAGTTAAAACTTCATATATCAATGAGAACATTTTATCTAAGGTGATACTAATTGATCAAGCCGCGAGATCTACAACTACGTTGCGCTCCTGCGCAGCCTGTGTCTTTGAAAAGTAAGAAATATTCTAATATACGAATGAATGGAGAAAATTGATCCATAATTTGTAGCAGCATAAATACTGAGCGAAATAATATCAAATTTGTGAAAATTCATTGAAAATCTATATCAGAAACTACCATGACAGACATTGTTCATTGACTCAACATGTAAGAGGAATAGCGTTGAAATATCTCTCTTACGCAACTAGTCAATGTGCAATATCCATTTCAGTAGTTCCCAATACAAATTTTCAATGAATCTTCACAAATTTGCTGTCATACTACTCAGTGTTAACAGTGCTACGAATTATGGATCAGTTTCTTGTATTAATTTGTACAGAGCAATAAATATTTCTTCTCCAGGGCATAGACCTTGTAGCAGAGCAACGTAGTGGCAAATCTCGTCCTTAGATCTTTTAGAATCACTTTAAAGTCTTCTTACATGAAGATAAGATAAAAAAAATTATTATTGGCAATTGATTTTCAATCATGCCATTACATCCTTGCCCAAAAATTATTGTGCATTCTGACATCATGCAAAGTTCCACTCATCTTATCAGAATTTCCTGAAAATACGAGTTATTTAGAATTATCTGTGCATTTAGCGATCTTGAAAATTCTACACAGGCTCTTAAAGCTGCCAGCTATTAAAACCTTCAGCAATTAAAATAATTTGAGAGCCTTGAATGTTGATTCTGGCTTCTCTGATGTCTAAATTATGGACAAAACTGAGGCTGTTATATTCAGACCAGTACATACCCTGGTTTCATGTTGATCCTACCAAAGAGAATTTTGGCACCCAGATCTATTTCCAGGACTGGCTTGAGGAAATCTTTCTCACCCATTGAGACACCACCAGATGAGATAATGACGTCTGCTTGGCTCAGTGCCAATGACAGCTTTTCCAGTAAACATGACGGCCTGAAGCAAAAATAAAAGTGTTAAAATCTGTGATAAGTTCACATTGGGACAACATTTTTAGAGTAACCCCTTTAGTGAATCATAATAAAGTCAAGGCATTTTATAAAAAAGCTTGCTGGCAAGACAACTCCTCTCCCTTTAGCCCTGTAACCCTTTTGTAACTGAAAAAGAGTTCATACAATTTCTGACCGGATACCTACGCTGAATGTTAATAAATCAATAAACTAATTTTTGACTAGGTTTCAGAAAGGTTAAAAAAAATTATTTTAATCCATAAATGCAATATTTTAATTATGTATTTTTCATTTCATTTTGACTATCCTCCCCCCACTCGCATATTTTTCACACGCTTAGAATAGTTCAATCTTATGGCAGCTTACCACAAGTAAGCCTTTCCTAGCATTCTATGGGGGAATAATTTGGTGGGCTACAGAAAAGCATATTAAGCCCAGTCTACAGACACAAGTGTATGAAGGTGTTTCAGAATATTTGCATGCAGCTCGTCTTTTACTAGGAAAATCAGAGGCTACTAGTCATTTCACCAATAATGTACAGGTAAATTCTTTAAGAACCGAGTAAACAAGAAATATGATAAATACAAGAATCAGAGGTAAGGGGTTGAACAATCTTACATGTAATTTTAAAACATCTCACTACTATGGTCAGTAAATATTTTACATTTATAAAAACAGATTTTGGAAATTAGGAATAATAATCTCAGTTTAGTTGTCAGTGCAAAATCTCCACTGACAATTTAATGAAACAAATAACCAATAAAAATAGCTATGATGAATGCGCACAGTTTACAAAGTAAAAATAATGTTGCTTGAAGAGCAACTGAAACAATGTGCGGATCATCCTTTTCTTCAGTACGGTAGTGTTAGGCAAAAGAGGCTTCCAGTAAACCAGTTAGACTCACTCATCAGGAACAATACCGATGTCAACAACTGGGTATCCATTTTTTTCCAACATAGAGATAAGCATGATTCTATTCGAGTCAAAAATAGCTCCTTTCTTTGCTCGCTTCATGGTAAAGGCATCAACAATTTCATTGCCCGTAGACAGAACAGCAACAATTGGTTTCTTGAACACGGTGATTTCTGTCACTCCAACAGACACTATTCGAGCAATATCCACAGAATTAAGGGCAGTTCCTCCACTGACCACTAAATCTCCGATTCTCACATCACTGCCACTTTTCCTGATGAAAAAATATATACATTCAACATTAAGTAAAATAAAATAATGAACTTAAATCAAATTTGAAAAAAAAGTATGATTACATCTATGCAAGAATTAATTAAAAATAAACAAAAATAAAATGAACATTATGAAATATGATTAGTTTATCCTATGCAAAAAGCAAACAGCATACAGTTAACTTCCTCTGAGTCAAACGCTCTTCACGTAGAATTTTCCTCTAGGTCAAGCTTTTTTAAAGTGGACGGCAACCCTAAAATCGGAAATGAGATAGTATTAAAAATTGAAGCAGGAAGGTATAAGAAGCAAAATGGCTCTGTCCCGAATGAAAAATTCGCAAAATCGGCAGAGATATGAAAGATTGTAAGGCTGACTGGTGACATCATGCATTCCCGGTGTGATTGCGGTTCACACGCACACAACTCAAAGTCTGGCGCGTTCGCTGCTGGCGCCGCGAAGTCGCCTTAATAGTCACACCTAAGCAAAGAAAAAAGAGTCGGCCAGGAACGAGCGAGATCAAGGTGAACTAATAACTTGTGGCAAACTTGCGTCGGCCACTTGACACCAGAGACAGTATGCAGAGTGCAGACTACAAAATGCGAGACAGAGCTCATGACGTCCCACACTCAGCTATATTTTCGCGATAGTTGCTCAACAAATGCAGACATTCGCAAACGGATTTCGGCACCGTTCATCGCACACTTTTCTTTGTTGATTTAGCCAAACTTGTTTTTTAGGTTGCCGTCCCTTTTAAAAAAAAGCAATTGTCTAACCTGATATCCAGTCCGAAGTTGGGTAATTTCTTCAGCTTGATGACGGTCTCCTCTTTTCTGTCCAAATCACAACTGACTAATTCTGTGTCTTCAACCTGAACAACAGCATCTGCTCCCGGGGGAAGTGGAGCCCCGGTGGTCACTCTGATACATTCGTTTTCACCCAGATTTCTCAACTCTGATGCCTGCCCAAAAAGTATAAACAAAATTAGCTCCTAGTGAATGAAGCGGCAAATAATTTTATAAAATTTCCAGGAGAAAAAGTTAAAGATTAAAAATTAAATTGAGTCTCAAGGTAACTGAAAAGCAGACTGATGATGCAGCCTTGAATATTAATTTTTGCGCTTGTTAATTGCTTAAAAAAAATCACATCAAAATAAGTTTGGTTTAAAACCATCGTTACCTAATTTTTTTCAAGAATGTAAAGTACTTCATCATTAACGGACCGTTGTAAATTTATATTTTTGGTGAAACAAATCTTACTTTATAATTTTAATGCTTTAAAATAAGCATTAGCTTTTCCATTTGGGGTTCTTTTCATTATTTTTTTTAGATCTTAACACACTTAAATGAAAGTAACTTCTCAAAAAATGTTAAAAATTTGAATAATAGCGCAAATAAATTGTATCCTTCGTGTTTTAATTAGTTCATAGCCACCACATTTGAAAAAAAAAACTACTTTGATGGAGACAAGCCATGCTGCATGTCTGACAGTTAAAATATTGTTAACAAAATAAGTAATACCTGACATTCTAACAGGGTGAGTCTTAGTGAGAGATTAAAGAACCGATCCAAAAACTTAAAAATACACTTTTATCAGAATATTTTGATCAATAGGTAGTTAAACAGCCTCGTTAGCTAGACTATGTTTTAGTGACAAGACGTGAATGATCGATTAACGATATTTCTCCATTAGAATCCGTGGTAAGAAATTCATTATTAAGATGTTCGAATCAAACACTCTGTTAATTGATCCTTTTTCATAGGTTTAAATGACAGATCCATTGATATATTACAAAGCACGCCATGCCACCACTATGTTTAAATTTTCAATGAAAGAACAGGTACATGGAGCACTAACAACAGAACAATAAACCAATTAGCTTTCTTAAATAATGCAATACTTACATCAGAAGCTGGTTCTGAGTGATGGATCACTGTGCGCAAATCAGAAGTATCCGTTGACCGCACCGCATAGCCATCTTTCGTGGAGACATCGCAAGCTGGAATGTTTATTGATGAAATCAAAGGCTTTGCGAGGGATCTACCGCGAGCTGCCTTCACGCTGATTTTCTCTGTTTTTCGTTTATGCTCACCATCTATAGCTGAAACAATGATTTTTAGTGCCTCTTTGTCCTCTACCATATCATACTTAGAGTGTCGCGGCCGTCCAGTCACATCACAATTTACCTGGAAAGATATCAAAATTCTTAACAAAGCAGTAAACTTAGGATTGTTGTTTTAGTGAAATACTGTGTCAACAATTTCAGCCTCGATTGTTTTCTAATCATGAAGTGTAACACTACTTTTTGTGCTCTATGAATTGTTATTTTTTTTACCAATCTTTCAATACTTAGTGAATTATTAGTTAATATACCTATACGTACCTTTGAAAAGCCTTAGCAAGTAATTGATAATTTTTTTTTTTTTTTTTTTTTTTTTTTGGGGGGGGGGCATTTTATTGAAGAAATCGTTATAAACAGGATTAAATCTTATTTCTACATAAAAGTACCTAGTTGTCCGCCCACTGATTTTAAGTCAAAAACTTGGAGAGGGTCTTCAAAAATTTAGGAGAGATGCGATTATATCTATTTCTTACAATTTATTCTGTCCTACCCATTCCTCTGAGTTTAAATTGGCTAATCTGGATAGTAAGTTTTCGCCTTGATCTGCTAATGCAATAAGTAGCTGGTTGAATAATTAGTTGACTCACAAATGAACACAATATTTTTAATCTGAGAAAGCAACAAAATATATTTTATACAGGAAAAATGATTTATTTTCACACCAGGAATATTAAATTGAATGTTGATTTGAGTGATTACCTTTGATTTGAATTTAGTCTCTTGCACCTGAAAATTAGAAAAAACAGATTGATGAGCTGAATTGAGGAAAATTAAAATCGGAGGAAAATTAAATCTCTTCATTTTAGAATCATATGAGCATGATAAAAAAAAAATTTACATTGAAAAGGAGAACTTCTCAAGCTGCCACCTCTGATTAGGCTGAAATTTTATAATAACTAAAAGAAGTTGTTGAAACTCCGATAATAACATTATTTGAGATGGAGTGTTGTTGCGGACAAATAAGAAAAAAAAGACTTAAAAAAATACCTAGAGCCTCGTGATTGTGAGGCCAGCGCTCTACCTCAATGTCTCTGTTATCAGTTTTTCATTTCGGTTGTTATTCTCCATCATGGAGATCTCCGGTTTTTTATTTTTGGAAAATTTTTATGTTTTGTACTTATTTCTCAGACTGCAAATGGCTCAGTCCTGAGCCGAAACATCTCAGGTTTTACTCCATATTTTTAGCCTTATTTACTGTTTTTCCTTCTTGTTTTTTCGTATTATTAGTGTCACAGGCTGCTGTGTAAAAATTTGTATCGTAGAGATGATACTAATTAGATACTTTACACTCAGATTTTGCAATATTTTTTTTAAAAACTACTTTGCTACAAGAATACCTCATCATCGTCGGGCTTCATTTTAGCAGTGCAAGTTCCCAATGGTGTGGTGCAGCCATTCTGTAAATATAAAAGATGCATGTTAGCCAGTTTTTACAAACACACAATTATCAGAGAAGGATGGAAAAATATAAAATAAAGTCATAGTTTTCTTGGTTTGAGAGGCTTGCAACTAGACAGACAAATGGATACATAAATCCCGATTAGTTTGAGGGATCTATCATGAATGCTTGTTTCTTCATTTTTGTAAGTACTGCCCAATAAGTCTGCATCTTTGCGTTAAATATTGAAACGGTATCAAACTAATTTTTCAATAGCATTCAAGCCAAACATCAAAAATGCGGTGCAAATGATATTTCCTGTCTTAATTACCTAAGAAACACGTCAAGTATACAGATCGTAAAGACTTTTCATATTTCTATGAATTACATAGTTCAGCTTGTGCAATAGTCCAATTGATTTTACTGATACATTACCAATCAAACCAGGAGACAATAGAATTTAAAGCTGCTAGCTTTCAAAGTTCAGAGGCAATAAAACATTACAAACCTCACATTGGTCAAACCAATGTTTCTAAGGTTTTTACTTCATCTCAACAGTTTCCACTCTTTAATTCATTACTGAAGGTCACGACTCTCTGCCATCATGCTTAGATCACTCCTCAGTTAATGGAAGTTAAAGTTCATTGAAGTTATTATAATGGACTTACAGAGGCTGTTTTGCTCTCAACTTCACCATGAGACACTTTGACTTTGTGTATATCATCGCGAATCAAAGCCACAGCATGAGGAATGACTTTAACGATGGCTTCAAAACATTCCATGGCTCCTTTGCGGCTTCCTGGTAGATTAATGATCAATGCCCTCTTGCTTACGCCACAGACAGCTCTGAAAATAAAGAGAGGGCTAAGTTGTGGAATAATAATGGAATATTGTTGAATGGAAAATCTTCAATTGTTATTTTAGGGCTAGTATCCATTCAGTAAGTAGCGTTAGAAACTTTTATTTTAACAATATACCAAAATCAATCCACTCAGAAAATCTAAGTCTCCTACTTATGTATAGCGTGGAAAACAACACAGTAATAAACATTTACAACTTCATAAATGCTGCAATAAGAATTAAGTAGGTCCTTTATACTTGATGAATGAACAGAAAATAGTGATTTGTTAAAATATGGAAAATTTGTTTGAAATAGTTATTTGAAGAAATGTGTTGAAGACTTTATTAAAACCCCTTAAACTGCCACTTATAATTGTGAACCATAGGTACAGAAAAAGAGGAAAAAGGAGAACATAGGGATTTTTTAAAACAATTTTTGTTAGAAAGACCACCGAATCAATGTACCAACCTAATTATGAGACTTTGCATTTGGATTAAGCACCTTGCAAATTTTTGGGACAAGACTAAAAAATTAATTGTGATATTTTCTTAAATGTGATTTCAGCAAAATTTTTTCCACGTAAAATCCTGAATTTTCAGAGGAAAAGTCCACAATTTTGTGCAATTGCATGTAGGAGCACTACCTTTTTCTTTGGTCATTTTAAAATTTCCTTGACATATTAACTGATTCGGTTGCTCAGCGCTCGAGTCCTGTAAGCTGCTACTCCTGTTCTGTTTTGATCTTACTTTGACAAATGATGAAAAGTTAAAGGTTAAGAGTGATGAAGGTTTCATTTGTTTATTTTCTCCTCTGACTTAAGATTATAAACATTTTAAAAACAAAATAGATAAAAACAGAATGAAAATCTGAGCAAAATATTTACCGAGAAAGCATTCCAAAACAGGTTTTCTGAAGGCTTGCCATTGTCATGGCTGTTTCGAGACCCTGCGCTCTTTTTTCAATGATACGCAAAGTTGCTTCTGGCGTGACATCTCTTGGCGCAAAACCTGTACCCCCAGTGGTGAGGATTACTTGGCTACGATCTTGTTCCACCAAAGAGCGGAGTTTTGACTGAAAAAGTTTTTTCCACATGAAAACTGTCATACAAAAATAATTTTGGTCTGAGTGATTACAGAAGTGTTTAATTGAAATACCTCCGGTATCCCCAAAAGAAAAACCATAGGTACCTCCAAAGACACCATCAAGGACCAAAGAAGGTGGCTGACCAAGATAAACGTTTGAGCATTAAGTACCAATTTTTTTCCTGATGGACAAATAGTTCATTGGATAGGTAACTTGAAAATATTTTCCTTCAATTTTTTTTTACATAAATTTAGTATTCAAAATTCAATAAAATGTATGGGAAAATTTTAAGAGAATTAGTGATAATTTTTCTTTAAGACAAATAATATATGATAAAAAAAAATTGGCAACATACAAAGTTCATAGGTACGTAGCCTATAAGTACCATATAAACATAAAAAAATGAAGTTTTGTGCCATAGAAGTTACCTTGTACTGTTATTTCGAGAACTTTGTTATGAACCACCTACAAATTCTTACTTTTAACTAATAACCATAAGTAAACAATATGACGACGGTATAAGTCTGCAACTTGTATCTCAGTTCGCGACAGAGCAGACTTGCTGTCATACTTTATTTTTTAAATAGAAAACCACTTAACGGTAATGCTTAAAAACTGCCATGATTTTCCTTTTCTATCCGAAGAAAATTCTGCAAAAACTTCAAGGAATGATGTCGATTTGCTCTCCTTAAAAATATAATAAAGGAACAGAGATCTTCAAACACCGCAAACGAAATACGTGGTTGCGGACTTAGACCGCCAATGATTATATAAGCCAAGCAAATGGATTGATCTCTTTCTTACAGTCTCAGGTCAAATTGGACTCACCTCAATATGATTCACATCATCAGGAACAACAGAATAATCAATCGCAATCCCTCCAATCTCTTTGATGAACTTCTGCAGGTCACTTCCCGAGAGATCCTCTGCGACTCCAGCATAACATCTGTCACTCACTGAAAAATTGTGAGAGAGTACCATTAACAAAACAATAGATATAAGCCATCAACAATCACTCAGAGACAATAACAGAAACACCAGAAGGGCTAGCATCTTATTATAAAAGTTGGAGGTTGAGCTTACCCTTCAGAGGTATTTCAAACTTTCTCCTGCAGACTCAGTCCCTGGCTTAAGTCTGCGCAGAATTACCTAATCATTATTGCTTCAACGCATTGTTGAATAATCGCATTTAAAAAAAGAGACAGAGTATTTTCCTGTTTGGCGTATTGTGCCTTCTGCAAACCAAGCTCAAAATTGCCACTGGGCAAAACTACAGACAGAGGCGATTAAATAAAATAAGTTACCAGTTACGATGGAATAAAAGATGCCCGAGTGGTCACCATATTCATTCTTCAAAGAGTTGCTCATCTTACAAATGACAGATCACTGACAGTCGGTTAAAACCTGATCTTCAAATACCGGAAACCTGAAACTGCGCACTTCTTGATTAAAGAAAAATTTCAGTGATACTTGATGCTTTTTATACGGCACGCACGAATTCAGGACTCAAGCTCCACAGGTGCCATATGGCCATTATGCGGCTTATCAGAAGCTATTACGCAATCGAAACAATAACAAAACCTTCCAACGATGTCAAATCAGACATTATTGGTAGATTTTCAATGACACATGTCAGTGTCGCTCTCTAGTCTTATCACACGACACACGTGTAAACCAAAACACAGCACTGTGGCTGTTTGTGCCTATGCACTAAGGCCAAAGCACCGTTACAGGGCAAAAAGTAAAAACTAAAAAAAAAAAAAAAAAAAAAAAAAAAACACAGCACTCGTCTGATAAGTTTGCGGTTTCCATTTTCAAATTCTCATTGATTTATTCCTATTTAGATCAAATTAAACCTAGTTTTTTGGATGATTAACATTTCTGCACACGTCAATTGTTTTGTGAAGTCCAGTCTCAGGATTCGCCGGCCTCACTCTTCTCTGATTTACATACACCGTAAGAACAGTGCTTTTTCATTCGTACACTTATTCTAATGTATTGATTCTAAGAAAAATGTCTTTACTGGTTAAATCGATTTCACTCTGCTGAAGTAAAAAATGTTATCCTCTGGTTTTGTAGAGGAGTACCTCTTATCTTTGCCTCTCTACTCTGCAGAAACAGTTCATTGGCCTACATGGCCAATGTGGAAACTCTTCTCAAAATACATTTCGATGGTGAAACTCTCAAACCACGTATCTCGTTTTGCAATATTGTAGACTTCTTGTCATACTTTAATTTTCAAATGCAAAACCACTCTGAGCGAATTCATAAATACCTCCTTGATTTTTACTCTCTGTGCGAAGCAAATTCTGAGAGAACTTCAAGGAGTAATGTTGATTTGTTCTCCTGCCTAAAAATAAAACAGGAGTGGAGATTTTTAAACACCGCAAATGAGATATGTGGTTCGGAAGTTCCACTGTCGATTTCGAGTAAATATCTATGGTAAGTGGTATCCATTCGAAAATATGCACTACCATCAGATGATGCCACTTTGCAAACTCAAAATATGTACTCTGTTTTTTCTGAAGGAAAATATAGATTGTTTATTATGTTTACTGTGTTGCAGATACATACATTGTTTCCATGCAAGACCCTCATGGACGGAAACATCCTTCAGGATAAACTTGATACATTGCTAAAGCAGCGAGAATTTCCCAAAACAATTTGTCCGTCTGAAGCTCCACGCTCTCTTTCAAGTGCCGAGCTAAAGTCTCTTGGTGTGACGGAATGGCGTGAGCTCATGCCAAAAGTGCGAAGTATACTCTGGAAGATGCGAGAACAAGACCTAGTAGAAATTCTTCAAAAAGGTGAACCTGTTCCTATGGAGGTGGGTCCAGAGGAAGTCAGAGGTCCCATTAGAGCTCGCAGAACTGTGAGCAAAACGTGATCCTCTCGAAGTTTTAAGGTCTCAACATATCTCTCTTCAGTAGAGTAAGTTTACAAATTAGAATCCCTGCTCATAAGCATGATGATAGAGGCAAAGTACACTCATTTATAATTGGTGATCATAAGAACAGGTCAAGATCACACCTAATTTTTTAGAAAGCCAAGTATCATACCCTTTTTTTGGTTCCTCATGCTGCTGCACTGACAGGAGGTGCATTACGATGGTGTAAGTCGGCAATCACATATTTCGTTTGCGATGTCTGAAAATCTCCGCCTACGTGCTAATTTTCAAAGGAGAACAAATTGACATCATTCGTTGAAGTTTTTGCAGAATTTTCTTCGCACAGAGAAAAAAAAATCACGGCAGTTATAAAGAATTGCCATTGAGTAGGTAGTTTTCTGTTTAAAAAATGAAGTATGACAGGAAGTCCGCGGCGTCACAAACTGAGATATGTGATTTCTGACTTACACCGTCGAATAGTTTTATTTAATTCTATTTCATATTACATGCCCATGGGTCACGGTTTAAAAATTCATCAGTTATGTACTCTGCCTGTAGATAGGATTGTAGTAGGAATGCAATTTTTCCACCCTCTTGCATGAATAAAAAAAAAAAAAAGACGATGTGTCAGCACTACATGGTAGATGGCCAAAAGACACCTGGACGCTCGATTTGAAGAGGAAAAAAATCCACCCACACAATCTTTACACAAGACCACTCATAATCTTTCACTGCACCATTCAAACCTCCACTCTGTCAAAACTTGTCATCTTTATTATAGATTTACCACAAATAAAAACATTCGGGAGTATTGAAAGAAGGCATTTTCTGTGACTGGTTTTGTAAACTGCGAGGTTGCCTGTCAGGTTGGGTATCATTACAATTTCTTTGTAATGATCCTGTTTTTTTCCTCATAAATACAGGTGGGATCATTAATTTTACTCGGAAGTGTGCAGACTCTGGCACCTAACACCTTTTTTTGCCTGCTGCAGGAGTTTTATGTTAATCCAAACCTTTTGTATCCTGTTTCAGTCTTTAAAATGGCAGTTACCTGGGAATATTCAGAAGCTGATTTTATATACATAACAGACTGGGGGGTGAGAACCCTTTCGAAGTTTGATGAGGCCTTACAAGGATGTTGGCGTAGCAAACAGAATGATAATGTTTTTCGGTATAAACTGAATGTGCAGAAGTCCAAATTCCTTGGAAAACATCGCTTGTTCATTCAGGTTAATTTTTTCATTTCATTGCTTCTGCATTTCAGTAGTCTTTAGTGTAAAACTATACATTTACAATTTATTACAAATGATGGTAGTGTGTGAATACGAAGTATGATCAAAAAGTGTCTGGCTCGACGGCTCAATGACTTCTGAGGGCATTTAAGTGTGCAAAGCACTCTTTGTCTGGGGTTCTGACCTGCCTTCTCTCCTTGTATCATACTTACCTAGGTACTATGCAAATCTGACTGAAACTATGCTGAATTTTGTTCGGGGGTCATAAAGAAATCTCACGGAGTCAAATCCAATCACACAATTTTTGACCATACATTCCAAGTGCCTATCATACCCTAACAAATATTGAAGATTAGCGAAATCAGCCATGGAGTGATTCTGAGAAAATGATACCCTTTCATGAGTACTTTTCTTCCTCAACTTTACTGGACTAAGACTTTATGATGAGACAAATGAGTGGGAGATAGTTTTCAAAAATTGAATGTTTTTTACTTAATCGGACCTAGTTTTTTTAAACTTTTTTTTCTTGAAAAACAACTTATTGGAAGCTGTGCGTCAATGTATGTTTTAATCTTATTTTGTATGGTCTTTGAAATATTGCTGGTTGTGTTTTGAATTTTAAAATGTTCTTGTCCGCTATTTTGTCCATTAAATGTTGAAGGTCTTTTTATTCACAGCGTTGAAATTTTGTCAAAGTTTGTTCGATTCTCAAATCAATGTTCCCATGTTTGTTTGTACTAAGTGCTCACACTTTATCGACAGAGAAACTGCAAAAACATGTCTCTTGTCTACGCTGTTTCAAAATCTCTACTTTCAATTTATTTTATTAAAGGAGAGCAAACCGACCCAATTTTTTTAAATTTGTACAGAATATTCCTCACAAGGAAAATCAGGAAAGTTTGCAAGGAATAATGTTGAGTATCTTTCCATTTAGAAAGTAAAGAATGTCAGGGAGTCTGCAATGTGGCAAAGGGAGATACGCTGTCCCTGCAGTGTCACTGTCGTTATTTCTGTGCATTTATGTACCTACTTAATATTTCATTTTATACCCATTTTTACTTTACTCAGCATTAAACTTCAACTGAATTTTTGGTTTCAGCTCAATACAGAAAGAGGGTCCTTATATCGACAGCCACAGAAATTTGTATCAGTAGATGAGCCATTCAATCCCAATGCGTTCAACTTTACTAAGATGAAAGAGGCTGAAAAAATGTTTGAGCTGAAAAGGAAGGATCTCAAAGGTTATTTCCTATTTTTCTCGTTTCATTCGTCATTTTATTATCGTTTTATATCGTTGGTCCCAACTGAATTAAATGTCATCCTTAAGTTTTAATTGTTGATGTCATAGTCTTACGCTCACTGGAGTATCTAATAATACCGTTAGACTTAGGTCAGCTTGTCAAGCAACAGGCTCTTTTACTGTGTTTACTGTGTCACCAGTAAAAAGTTCCTCTCTCAAAAAAGCAAGTGCTAATTACTCATGTTTTTTTCTCTCTCAAAAAATTAACGCATTTTGATTGCCATGTGATCTTTTTATTTGTTGGAAATCTGTGTTTATGTGCCTAGATTAACTCAGAAATCATACACCCAGGGTTGTCCTGGCTTGTGCCACCGAATACAGCACTCCTTGGCAGTGGGTAAATACCCTACTATCATATACATCTACGCACTCATTGCATCTGTATCTTTAACTTCCCTTTTTGATATTTGATGTGACAGTCAAATATCATGATTATATTCTAGATCATACTGTAAGTCCTAATTTTACTCCGCTGACACCTAATATTTTTTGTTATTCCAGGCTGTGAAGCAACACTTGCTGTGAATGTTAGCCCTATCGAGAGCGGTCACTCGCTGATCTTACCCTCTTTGTATTCATGTCTGCCACAAGTCATGACTGAGGAGAGTCTGCAAATATCGGTGGACGTTCTGCTTTTGAGTGCATCGCCTGCTTTGAGGGTAATTTATAACAGCCCGTGCGCTTTTGCATCCATCAATCATCTCCACTTTCATGCACTGTACCTGGACCAGAGGATGACATTGGAGACTGCTCCCACTCGACACTTGAGCGGCCCTTGCTTCGAGCTGGTAGACTTCCCTTCTAAGGGATTCATGTTTGAAATGGGCGAAGGATCTTCTCAGGCTTTGTGTAGGTTAGTTATCATCTTCCTACAAATTAGACTGCAAATCATAAAGATTCCTTCAAAGAAGAGAGTCTTCCACAGAAAACTTTTTCCCCTTAAAGTTCCAAGCTCTTTTCCTGTCTAGTCCAGAAAGTTTGATTTGGAAAATTGGCTTAGTTCGAGCTAATTTTAAGACATTTACCGTGATTTTGATTTCCATTTTTGCATGTATACCAGACATCTTGAACAGTTTCTTACAAGGGGGCTCTCAGGTTCAGAATTAGCTTTACCAAAGCTGGACAAGCTAGTTTTACTCTCCCTTAGTTGCTTTTCCACGTACATCCTGCCCAGGAAGAAAATATTTTTCTAGGAATCAGTAAAACTTTCTGATTGATAGAGGAAAGTTACACTGTACAGATACTTAGCTGTGAAAAATTGGAAACTTCGACTATGAGGAAATTGTGGAGCAAAATTATGCATCATCAGGAAATACAGATAGTTTTAAAAAACTCTCTGTTATGACAAAAGATTTTGATTCTTTTCAAACTGCCAGAAGATGTAAATGGACAAATAGATGTATGGCTAGGACGTCAATTTTTTGGACTGCGAGAGAATATAATTTTACTTTTTTTTCTTTCAAAGATTTTTTGTAATCATAGTAGAATCCTAAAGGGTTTTCAAATCTTTTGAATGTGTTTTCAAATCAATCGTCAGATTCCATTCATCGATCATTTCTGAATGGACCTATCTTAATGCCCATTATTTTTCTAATATCTATTTTCTGTATAATTTCAGCAATGTCTTCAAACTGGTATCATTCTTCCAGAAAAATAACATAGCTCACAATCTATGCTTAACAAGAGGAACTTCACAAGTTTCTTCAGCCGTAACTAATGAAGCAAGGGATTGTGTCCGAGCTTACGTTTGGGGTCGCACTGCCTGCAATTCCACCATTGGTAAGCATCACATAGTCCAAGTTTATCATGGCTTAATAGAAGCGGCCAGATTGTAATTTCCTTTGCCTGGATCAATCTCAATCAAGGCCTTTGAGAGGAGGGAACTCACCAAAAGGAGACAGACGATCTCATCAAGAAGTCTGACGTCTTGTTTAATATAGCCTGCTTAACCAACTGCTTGACAAATTGTTTTGTTAGCACAGCACAGTGGGAAAAACAGCCGATTTAGCGCCGAAAAAGTCGGTAAATTGACTTCAATGAAAATGGACGAAATTGGTATGTATGTGTGCCTGAAGATCTACTGATTAAGTAAGTACTGATTCATAAAATGATGACACGGGTTTCAATGATTGAATTTCCTGTTTGACATAGTTTTATGATAAATTCAATGTTCACAAGTTAATAGTTATCCTAACAAGAAATAGAAAAATTTAGAATACGAAAATAACCTCGGATTAGTTATAGCTTTTCCATTGTTCGACGGTTAATTTGAAATTTAAAGTTTCAAGCATTTTTCTCCCCCTTGTTTGCTCTCATTATTAAGTGCTTGCCAATTAGTATGACCTTTTATTTGTCAACATCGATAGTCATGAGCTGCGCATTACCTACATTCATCCTTTGTCAGAAGTTCACTTCATCCATGGATTAGGTTTAACTGTTCCACTGTGCGCCAGTCTTTTTTTTGGAAATTCTAAACTTCAAGCAATTTGTCTCCACATTTGTTCCTTATATTAGATATACTGCAATTAATATGTAATTTTCATCCAATAAATTTTTAGTAATAAGTTGCATATTACATTCATTCTCTCTTAGAACTTTCACCTGAAACACTCGCATTTGAGCTCACAAACCATTCAAAAAAAAAGGAAAACTTTAACTCCGCTGACCGATCAGGAACCACAAACCGAAATACAGTCTCAAGGAATGTGAGTTACAGCTCATTTGCCGACTAAATTTAGCCCAATACTCCTTAAATTTACAAAAAATCGGTGCATTATGCTGTCTATGGTACTTAGGTAGATATATAAGACCGATTAAGTATGAAAAACCAATGGGAAAGTGAAAGCCCCAAGCGTCAAGACTTTTTCGGCGCTAGATTGGCTGTTTTTTCCACTGTGCAGAGGGTGCAATTCCATTTTAATTTTATGATTCAAATTTAGGACATGGTCAAGCAAAACTTAAAACACTACAGGAAATAGTTACGTCCAGCTTAGAACAGCATTTTTAAGTGTTTTTTGTGCCAGAATGTGTAAAATACTCTTCTGTGTTCAAGTACTATGAGTTTATCTACCAAGAATTTTTTATAGTTTCAATGTAATTAAAGAATTTTTCACCTTTGGTTTTCAGACTCAAAAACAATTTTCGAAATTCTTCCTGCTGCTTGTGAACTTTTTGGCTTCATAACTGCCAAAAGTAAGTTTTTTATAATTTTTTTTATTTTTTTATTAAAGATGAGAATAGTCCTCCCTTCATCTCAGGTTTTAGCCAAGGATGTTTTGGTTGTTTCTGAAATACACCTAACAATAAGTTCAAAGTACGTTACTCTCTCTTCATGACAACAATCGTCACAAGGAAAATTTCTATTTAACAGAAAAATCGTCCAGTCCTTTAAATTTCGCCTTTTCTTAATAATTGCTGATCGTTATAACAAAAATTTATCTGGAACAAAAAATCGGCCTAACCGTTGTCAGTTCATAATGGAGAGATAGCACTGTAGTTAACGTCGAAAATAATGTCACGAAGAATCGTTCCCTTTGCACCCTGATACAAGATCTATCCATATAGGTCAGTCATTGCTCAGATTTCCTCGCTCGGGGTCGCCCCTTTTCTTGATCACGATGTTGGTATTACGTCGTCAATCGAGAAATCCAGGAAACAATGCTTTTCTTATGGGACAATTACTAATTTTTATTAATGAATCATTTAAATTCCTTACTTTCAAATCCTTTGAAACTTTCTGAGTGCCGAAACGAACGTTTTTAGACGTTAACATTCAGGGTTTCGATTTTGCCGACTCTGTGCTTTTTCATTTTTACAGTTTACTCTGCATCAGCCATTCTTACACACGGAATCTACACCACAAAGTGACTCGTAGAGCGCTGACTTCAAATATCATTTACAAATATAAAAACATAAAGTCAACCAAATCAAAACCCTGAAAGCTAATGTCCAAACGTTCTTTTCAACTTTCAAAAAGCTTCAAACGGTTCAATAGTAAGAAATTCAAACGACTCATCAATAAAAATTAGCCTTCTCCCCATAAGAAAAGCATTGACTCCTGTTAAAGCTAATTAAGCTTCAACCAGACATGTCTCCGTGGTAACAGAGTTCCAGTTCTCTGGCTTTCGCAGCAGTAATACTGACATGACGTACTGAAGATTCTCATTTTGGTTCTGGGAATGACTGACCTATATGGATTGATCGTGCCCTCATAGATAGTATGATGCTTTACTGATTTACGAAAAGTTAGTTTTTTATGTTCATGTTTTGTCTTTTTCTCTCACAGCGGAGGCAATTTATGAAAAAGTAAGCGCAGAAGATGTGGAGAAAATTTTACATGATGTCACCAATGATGTGTACCAATCAGTACGAAATGGTGTCAAACTGTTATTTGATGACACCCATGATTCATCGCTTGCCAGCAGTAGCTCAAGTCTTAAGTAATTTTATTACAAAGAACTCCTCTTAATTCCACAGAAACGATCATTGTAATTAGTACATAAAAAATCATATTAGGCGAAGTATTAGAGTTCTGCCCGGGGGAGTCAGAATGTGTTTTAGTGTAAAGCAAATCTGGATCTCATTCTTGGAAGAAAGATTATCTTTTTCCAAATCTTCTTGAAAGAATAATAATTTAAGTCTTCGCAATGGATCCCCATTGCTAATTTATTTTCTTTCAGCCTCAGCAGGTCCAAGCCCCTTTATTCCCAGGAACTGACAGCGAAATTCGACCAAGTGTCATTTTCAAATTTTATTTTATTTTAGTGATGATTTCCCAGTTCCTTACTGCATTTAGAGTACTTCTCACAGCCCTGCATTATCAACCAACAGCTTCAGCCATTAATGGACCAACTACTGCCAAAATAGCACTTGCGGGTTTTGTCTAAGGAGTGGAGTTGATTGATTGTTCGTAGTTTGTTACATACTGTTACATTGTTAATTACCCAGCAGTTTATTTTTCCTCCTGATTTTATGTTTTGTATGTCTTTAAGTTCATGTATTTCAATAAGTATTCCTAGTTCTGGAACTGTTATTCACATTAATAGAGAAAATAAAGTTTCTAAAAATTATCTTCTGACATGGCAGCTCTCAAAATCCATTTTCTGTTTGGTGCATTTCAAACTCAGATTAGGAAGCAAGTTCAAAGGCAGTGATCCTTTATCTTCTGTGACAGTGAAGATTCCATCAATTTTAGGAGTCGTTTATAAAATATGTAACGCTCTGAGAGGAGGGGGGTGAGGAGAGCGTTACGCCATTTAGTCTCTTGTTTTTTAGGATAAAGGACCTGTATCACAAAAATGTTACAAAGGAGAGGGGGGTACAGGTTATATTTTCATATCATTCAACACTGAAATATTGCTGAAAATATGTTGCTTATTACCAAAGGAGACTTTGAATTTTATGTACTGACTGAGAATACAGCCCTATGACTCCTCTTCCTTCATTTTGAGCCTGAAAGATGAATCGCCTCGATTGAAAACATCTGATGTCCAATACTAAGTTTCAGAGGATGGCTGGGGCGATTTACTAAAATTGGTTTAAAACATGAGAAATGTAGTATATGTAGTTTTATTTGAAGCCCCACAGATTTAACTGTGGGAGGGCAATAAGAACGACTGCAATTACTATTAATGTGTGACTCACATCGGATGTTGTAGCTTGAGCTGATTAAAAAAGGAGAGGTGGTAGATGAATGAATAAATCAGTCGTTAGAATTGAAATTGTATTATATTTGGTCAATATACAAATAACTAGCACTATGCTGATAGCTGATAATAAATACCAATATCAAAACATTGTAGAAACATGAGAGGGGAGCTGGCCTCTCCGTCACATCCCTAGTCTGGCTTGGGCTTATAGGTAAGAATAAATTAACAAACATGAGAGACGATCGAAATTCAGATGAGAAGAAAATAATAAATCAAAAATAAATTTCAAATAAAAAATGTACTATAAAAATTAAAAATTAATTTAGATACAAAACAAACTTGACTAATCAAAACAATCCAAATAACATTGCCGCCGCACTTAGCCAAAATTCTAGCTTTCCAGTCTAGATCTAAGACAAGGAGCATCAAAAGTGTAGTATCTACAATATTTTCCTTTAATAATTTGCTGCAACGAATTGCACTGCCTAATGGACCTTCCAGCAACTCTCAGAAGTCTTGCTCATTTTGTCATCTCCCCCACAGAGAAATGTACCTTGATTGCGCTCTTTCGGTATTTCTTACTAACATTTGAGTTTTTAATGGGAAAACTGTCACATAAATTTGCCTGAAATTTTCAGTGATTTTTCTTAACACTTGCAAGAAAAGACACTGACATTTTTAAGCGAATTCCTAAACTGATTGTCCCATGAAACAATGAACTGTCCATAGGCATCCAAAGAGAGAGCAGACAAGATACGTTTCTTCAACGATGATACATTTTGCTTCACATCTTCCTTAGATTCGGAATAAAGTTAATTTGCGCAATTCGTTGTAGCAATTTATAGCATGAAAATGCCTCAGTAAGACATGGCTTTATGGTCTATTTCCTCTAATTCCCTGTGCTCATCAATGGGTTGATAAAATGCATGAAGTCCTTTGTTTTTACCAGAACTTTCAAAGAAATTTTCGATACATATCAGAAATGATTAGAACATGGACTTAAATATAGCTTGAATTCTTGATCAAAGCTAAAACAGAATCCTTGATTTCATTTTTAACTTGAAAAGTAATGGGCGATCAACAGATTTTATTCGATAAAGTATATTCCTTTTAAGCGTATCCCTGATGGGATATTGCAACTTTGCGAGTGATAGTGATACAGGAACCTAAACTTCCTGACAGCACGGGTTTTATGGAACGATAAAAATCAGCAAAGAAGATTACAATCGGTCAATATAACCGGAGTGGCAGTCAAAGAAGTTCAACTAAGATCTATCTCCCGCATAACAGTTTGAAACCAATCAATGCTGAGAGAAGAAATTAGCGGTTTTTCGACTTTTGATGCTTCTTGTCTTTTCCTTTACCATGCGCAGCAGACACTGCTGAATAACAAAATTTCCTACATACTTAAAATCCCGTTTCTAAGTGTTGAAAACAATTATGATCTGTTCCGAGTTCAAATTCACATCTGTACATACAATTTACAAAAAAAAAAGGGGGGGGGGCAGAGAACAACGATCATTTTTAACTTTCCTTACAATTTTGTTTTCTCATTGATTGATAATTTACAATTTGTTAAAGTGAGACCAAAATCTTGAAAACCAAAAAGCGTGAAGTTCTGGCGTCTGAGAGACACTTGAAAAATCGGGAGCTATGCTCAAAGACATAATTACTTTTTACAATTTGACTTGAATCAAAATTTTGTAATTAGCAGAGGATAATATGCAAATCGAATTGAAATTTGAAAGTTAAGTCAATGGATCATGGTGGAGATTTCATTCAAAAAATGTAGAGCCAAAGCTGCTTTTTGAAAACCAAGAAAGAAAAGAAAAAAAAAGAATGAGGTGGGGCTTCAAGTTGCTTAAAGGTCAGATAAGAGTAAATCCTTTTTCTCATACCTCCATTTACTAATTCAAATAAATGGTTTACATAACTTCAAACTTGAGTTTGTATATTCGACTTATTAATTGACATAACGTTGAGCGATTTCAGCTTTAAAAAGAGAAGTGGTAGGTTGCCTTTGCCATAAAATCACATTCTAAAGGTGGGGTAAAATATAAAAAACTAAAATGCATAAATATTTGAATTCCTTTCGTCACATAAAAAAAAAAAAAAAAAAAAAAAAAAAAAAAAAAAAAAAAAAAAGAGCCGCTCATGTCAAGATAAGTAAATGAAAGACAGTTCTGAACATCACAATTTCACACCGTAACTTTGCCGATCTCACGACGAATATTAGAAAATCCTAAGACAAATCATTAAAATAATTTCAAATTAGAAAATAATTTCAATTTTATTCCCCAGTATTTGTGTAAAAATGCACTGCAGGAACCAAGCATACTTTCATTGTTACTATATTTCATTAATTAGCTGTTCAAAATATGATTTTATAAAACTTGCAATTTGTCAATATGTGAGCTCCTGATTAACAGAAAGAAATCTGAAAAAAAATAATAAAAAAAAATAAGCAGAACCAGCAAAGAGATTATGTCACTGAATCTGTAAAAAGGGACTTTTCTCTCCAAGAGTATGAGATTAGAGTTGGTATTAAGTGCTGTTCCATGAATAAAGAAAATAGTAAACATTATGTCTTCGGAACTCGGAAATTAATTTAAGAGAAAAGCTGGAATCATGAAGATCCTGCCAGGTTGCAGTGAAAGATCAGAAAAATCCCTTTCTGAAATACTGATGCTCTTTGAGGGTAGGGCACCTACACACTTAATTTGGCTGATTTTGATTTTTTTTACTCCTTCGAAACATTTCCCAAGGAACTTCGACCTCAATAGCCTAATTGTAAGTTTACACATATGGTCACACTACATTTTCTTTCAGAAATTCAGGAGACACTTCAGACAGGCAAACTTATCTCTAACACTTCCCAACTGATACAATCAGGGTTGCCACTGAAGTTAAAAAATGAAATTTCCCAAACACAACTTGGTGAAATTCCCGACATCAAGATATTCCAGATGATTGAAAAGACATAATTTGAAACAGTTTTTGCGAAAAATTCTTTGTTCAAAACGCCAAACCCTTTCAAGAAAGCAAATAGAGGTGATTTAACAATTTTCCCTGACGTTTTCAGGATTTCCCTGACTTTTCTCATCCGGACTGTGGCAACCTTGTAAAATTGGTATACTAAGATGAACAAGAAACTAAGATGGTAGTGAATCAACGTAAATTGAAAGAGTTACAAAAGCTCAAGAAAAGACAGAACTTATCTTTACAGTGATTCAACAACTTTAACGCAAGAAAATGAAATGAAAAAATAACAATTTTGATCCGAAGTCCAATCATAATTAGAGTTTCAACACATTTGAATTTTATCTATTGAAGCACTGTCATCTACAGGGCAATGGAACACTTCTTCAGGACTTCAAGATTGCAGCACTGGCATGGACCATTCCTAGATATGAGACAATACTGGCAGTAACACTCAAACATAAACCAACTGGAACAAAAAACACTAAAATTTCCCAATCCTTGACTAAGAACTCCATTATTTCTATTTAAAAACTAGTCACCGTTTATAATTTGACAGGAGTTCATCAACATACAACGATAATGTGGAATTATTATTTTTCTTTAGAAAAAAAAATTTAAAAAAAACCATATTTCCCTAGGAGTTTTAAGCGTAAACGAAGTCTTCGATTTTCAGATTGAAATTTATTTTCATTTTATTAGCACTTATATGTAGATATAGGCAATTGTAAAAAAAAAAAACCTTCATAAAGGTTGGATATTTTTCAGCAAACATAATTGCTCACTTGTGCTGGGTAAACACTGAACGAAACACTTGATGTCTGAAATTTGGGAGTAACGTTTGGACAAGAATAATTGAATATCTATAAACCACAGGTCATTCTGCCTGATGATTCAATTATTGCTTCACTCATTCCTCAAAGAAAACTCATCACACAAAAAATTTAGTTTGACTACCCTTCATTTTATGGTAACATTGAGGAGAGAAAGATCCTCTGAGTGGAAAAAAAAAAAAAAAAATAAAAAAAATTAAAAAAAACCCCAATTTATGGTAAAATGGCAATTGGAAAAAAAACCAACACTGTTTTATATACCTCTTTTTTTTCAAATTGAAAACAAAAGTGAGTGATGTTATGGACAGGTTTTTATGAAAATTTAGATCGAGATTGTATATGGGGATGAAAATCAAAGTTCATTCCATAGCGGTCTATTCTGTAGAGAATTCAAAATTCAAATACATAAGTTGAGATTGATGAGCTCAAATCCTAAGCACTGCTTCCAAAGATCAGACATCGATGATCCCACTTCAGTGAGCTACCTAGTTCCAATTCAAAACACGAAGAATTTGACTAAGTTCCAGGAATCAGACTTAATGGCTAAATTCTACTCACAAACCAACTTTGGGTAAAAACATTTTGAAAACGAAGATGGGTTTTAAACGGCTAGGAGGAGTGACAGGGCCAACAATGGGCAACTATTGAAGAGAAAATGGAACACAGCACCCATAAGTTTTGACTCTGCGTAATCATGCGTACCGATAGTCAAGATTTAAGATCCAAGAAGACTTCCATCATCCAATCAAATAGTACAGGTAACGTATAGAGGGACATTTCAAAAACGTTACTAGAAGTAAAACAGAGATGGTTTCCCTATGATGATTTAAGGAGTGAGATTTTATCAATTTGAGGGAAACTCCCATTCTTGAAAAGAGTGTTTAAAAAAGGGCCTGAAGTGTTGCTGATTAAAGAGGGAAAGGCTAGCTACTTCTCAGAACTTAAACCACGCAGAACCAAGTAGAGAAAAGTAAATGAAAATATACAAAGAAAAGTAAAGAAGTAAGAATTAGAGGGCAAAAAGATTAATGATAAATGAGCTTATGTAATTATACAAACTGAAAGTTAGATGTCGTGAATAAATCGTAAAAAAATGAGTCCCAGAGGCTCTACCATTACTTATGAAGTAATTACAGCAGGGGGAGAAATAAATAAATAATGAATAAATAATAAAGTCTTAACTAAGGGAATTGAGACAGTCAGAACACCTTTCCACAAAGGAATCACACTAATTTCAGCTTTTTAAAGCAATTTCAGCGGCGGATAACTTTACAGGCTCCAGACTGTTTCTGTCCATCGGAACTAAGGTTATACATGTCTGGACTACTAAATCCCTTACTAATCGGTTCAAAATGTTACGGTTTCATAGAAAACGTAAGCTTCTGTTTTGAATTTTATTGAAAAGGAGTCCATGAACTACAATTCTCTGGACTGACCTTTTTTTTAAAATTTTTAGAAAGAACAATATTAGAATGTCCCATAAGTAGAGCTAAAATACAAAACTTTCAATATAGAATTTCTTCTTCTACAAAAGGATGGATGGAAACAGCTTTTTGCCTTCTCTGCAGTCCGTCAAAAGAAGCGGAGGATCAAAGATTCAAAGGAAAACACTAAATTTACAAGAAATTATACACGTTTGATTCAATTTCCATAAATCATAAACAACTAATAATAATAGTCAATCATAAAACACATATCACAAAAAATTAATTCGACAGATTCCGAATATTTCTGAAGCCGAGTGAACGGCGAGGGAACCAAACACTGGAATTTAAACACTGCCGAGAAGATGGGGTTAAAATTTCACAACAAGATCCATAGGGACAACAGCTTGACGAAAAAGCACAAAAACTCAGAAACAGAAATTTTCTAGAAATCTTGATGATTTCTTTGAATGAGGTTGGGAATTATTGAAAATAGCACAAGGAATAAATTTCTAACTCTGAGCTTTCAGAAAACAATTGAAAGACAGTTATGTAAGAAGACATTGTACAAGAGGCTGACATAAGAGCTGTAATATTTTTGAAAATTTCAACGAGAAAAAGAAAACAATGAGGATTTGCCCTGGAAAAAGTGACTATCTGACATGAGAGTGTGTGCGTAGAAGTACAACAGAGAACACAACACGAAATCAATGCGTATACAACAGACAGAAGAGACACACACGCACACACACACACAGGAATCGCTACACTGATACAAGAAAAGTGACTTATCAGAGACTTAGCGGAGAGAAAAATCATGAATGTTAATTTTCAATTTAATTTGATAGAGAGTTCAACAATAGTGAAGTGAGGAATTGTACTTAACGTCCACCACATTTTACCAAGAGAGAAAAAAATTATTTGAACCAGAAGTAAAAAGGAAAAAATTATATAGTAAATTGATATCATTTACTAACTCCATTAACAAATAACATGTTTCAATTCAGCTCAGTTGTAAAATTTACGCACTCTTCCAAAAAGAGATGACATGCATATGCTAAAATTATGAGGAAATGTGTTTGTTAATTAGAGAAAAAATACAGTGAAACTTGGATACATCAGGCTTATGAACAAATTTTGAGGGTGTAGTACGGGGCACTTTATTCTGAACGATGGCTGATTTCTACCATGCAGTGAACTGATGACAAATTTAAGATGCTGAACTTTTCCTAGAAAAAATGTAAGTTTCTGTGAGTATATACCCGAGGCACAGGATTCTATAATACAGGATTCTATAAATACTGTCTCATTGACATGAATTTAGTAGGCGCCAATAATAATGGGTTAAAAAAGTTTATAAAATGATTTCAAATTCTGCAGTTCTTGAATGTTTCAATGAGTAGTAATATAGAAAATTCTAATGATGCTCAAAATATTCTGCAGTTTCTTTTTTTTCTTCTTTCTTTTTTATTGATCAATGAGAGTACATATACTGAGGCTTTCAGTTTGAGATAGAAATTTTCTATCGATGGACACATTTTTATTAGGTCATCAGAAATTCAAAAAATTAGAGAGTTTAACAATCTTTTGCACCTGAAATGCTGTGAATACTTCCAAGTTTCACTGAATTGAAAGAGACATGATGATCCAGCAAATTTATAGACTTCAAAACACATTTGGATCCCTGCTCAAAGCACTACCCGCAATGGATACTGCCTTACAAAAATTTCGAGCAATGAATTCAGTTCTACCGTCGAATTTAACGTTCAGCCTTTGCTGAAGTAACTAGATCTTACTTTAGATTAGATACATATTCGTGAACTATATACAGCTAAATAAGGGAGTATCGCTCCAGCTGAGCCGTGTGTCTACGTCTGGCAATAAAGCTACTCTAAAGCCCAGAAAAATACTTTTTCATCACTACGGCAGTCTGATTTAGAGACGAACTGGCAAACTACTTACGGCGGTAGCTAATACGTTTTCACGCACTGCAACTACTTCTGCAGCAACTTTGCTTCGACTCGGATTCAAGCCATAAAAGGAGAGAGAAACCTACAGATCTCAATCTAACTTTGGAAACGTAATCTTGAATTACCTGTTACTTCAAATTTGAGTGAGCCATAGGTCTCTCAACTAAGAGTAAACTGTATGGAATAGGAAATCAAACTCTGGCAGCGATACTTTTGAGGGGACTGGGGACTGTACAAGGGCCAGGGAGCAGGGGAAGGGGAGGGGGGGATCACGTATGCTTAACGACAATAACTCCCGGCCGCTGTTGTTGCTGCTGCTGTTGCCGCGAGTGGGTGTGGAACTGGAGGAATGGGTTGACGTCCACCTTGAGAATGCGCGACGCAGCAGGGTGAGGACCGGTTGCGTGCTTGGTGAGCGCCAGGGGGGCATCTTGGGTGTCGTCGGTGTCTAAGTCACCTGTCCTTTCCTCGACAGGTGGCGAAGGGATGGGTACCGTGGTTTCAGCATCAGTCTCGCCTTCACTGAAGAGGTTCGTCAAATGGTCACCCTCAAGGTGTCGAATGGCTTCCACTATTGTCTCCAGGTTTTGCCGTGACGTTGATGCTAGATAAACCCTGTTGAGACAATGGCCAGATTTGTATTTCAACACAACAGTAAGTCAAACACAGTTTTATGTCCATTTTCCTAGACTTGGAAAAAATTAAGTTCCTGATTAGGGGAGAAACAGAAGGTTCATGAGAAAAGTTCTAGGAGAAAGAGGACTGATGAAGAAAAGAGTCAACGCACATAATTGCATAGCAAGTAATTAATTAATCAGTAAGGATATGGAGCTGGCAAACTGCTAGTTACAAAGTAATTGATTATTTAATCAAATTTAAAGCCCCTCTACACAGGAGTTTTAAATCTGTGATAGTTTCAGCGAGAAACGTCGAGTATAAGATACTTTCGCCAGATGTGTTTACCAAAAAAGCTTCATAATTCGACTACCTACGCAAACCATTTTTGAAAAATCAAAGTCTTCTTATAACAGAGTGAATGCATTGTTTGCAAACTTTTAACTGTAATTAGTTTATTCTTCAAAAAGAAAATGGACAATTTTAGAAAAGGAGTAGTAAAAAAAGCGGTAGTCGCTCTACCGAGGGCCTGTTCTCCACGGGACATTTCATGGGATTTGTCCCAGGGAAAAAACACACTTGCGAAGTTGCAAAAAATATTGAGTAAGTCAATACTGATCAGAGTGCCAAGTAAGAGTCATTGTGGAGTCTCAGGAACGACTTAAAAGAGGAAGAAGAAATTTTTTGTGTTATTTAGCGGGAAGAAGCCCAGAAGTTTCATTCTTGCCATTAGAACTTAGGAAAAATTCTGTGAAACGTCCCGGGGAGACAAGGCATTCAAGTTTTAAAACTTTCATAATGGAATTATTTCCTTAAACATTTAATAGGTCGTTTTGAAAACTAGAAATAGGTATTAGAAATGCCTAGTGTTTTCAAAACTGTATGGAGACCTCCAACTCATCCTTTAAAAATCTTAACTCACTACAAAACTGGTCTTCCGAATTCATTTTCGATTGAAATAACACATGTGGAGACATCTAAAACGTGATATACTTGGCAACAAGCACTTTCATTGAAAAATCTGTGAAGTTTTCCCTTATTTTAAAGAGTTCTCAAATTTTCCCTATTTTCTCTGATGTATACTACCCCCAAGTAAAGGATGAAGCCAAGTAGTTTATCTCACCTAGCTTGTGGCATGACTTTCTCTGAAGAGGTCATGGTGGTTGTCTTGGCGGAGATTGGGGAGGGCACTGGTGCGGACCCTGTCGAGGAAGGTAATCTCTCTACCTCTACTTTGGGCTCTGCTTTGATCGCAGCTTCTAGGATGGACGGTAGTCGAGAGACTGACGCTGATGGAACCGAAGGGGCAGGCGATGTTGAGGCTGAGACAGGGCTTGATGCCGATAGCACCGATAAGGATGGCACCATGGAGCCGGTGCTCCCTGGTGTCTGCGTTAGGTGATGCTCTGAAATAAACGGAAAACAATTTCAGTGGAATCTGGTCGTGAATGAACCCTAAATGCAGGAAACGACTCCTGACAGAATTTCTAACTTACAAGGCAAACGATTATTTTCATACTTGAAATCTTCTGTTGACACATACATTTCATTGCCCTCCGATGACTGAGCTACTCTAAGGATACAAACATGGAGAAAAAAGGAAAGTTTGGAGAGTAGTCTTGAAATAGAACTTAACTGATTAGGAATTTACTGGTTTTTTTTTCTCCAAAAACTCTTCTTCAAGTTGGGTTAAACTATCAGTTGAACTACATTTTGCAACATGGAACTACATACTATTTCTGGTTTGTTTATAAAAGAACCTATCTGCATAGGGAAACTAATGATATGCACACTTCTAGAATGAGCTAGAAATAGTAGTTTCTCATACAAAATGCAGTCCAGTTGTCGATGAGCCTGTGATGTCTCTGGACAGGAGAAATACTTAAGTAGGAGGATTTTCGCCAATTTCTGAGAGTTTTCAGGCATTTTCCGCTAAATCCAGCTACTTTCTGGTATTTTTCGTCATTTCCATCACCTTACAACTATGTTAGACATACACCCATCTATAATGTCATAGGTGCATGTATTCTGGGATATTTTAAGATATTTTCATCCATTTTCAGCTACTTTCCAGATTACTCTTAGGAGTCATTCAGGATTATTTGGACCGAGTTTAACAGAAAGGAACCAAGCCACATCAGCGATTGCCAAGTTTAACTGGGCAATTATATTTTTTACGAGAGAACGGTTGTTCGGATTCCTTTGAACATTTTAAGGAATTTGTTTCGCACCACGGAGAATTTTCACTGAAATTTGCACGAAAATCCACACAACCGTTTTCATGTAAAAAATTAAATTGCCCAATTAAATTTGGCAATAGCTGATGTGGCTTGGTTCCTTTCTGTTTAACGCGGTCCATTTTTGTTATAAAAATGTCCATTAAAGTCCATACATTTCAGCAGATATCTAATGAACTTAAATTACATACAAGACATTTTATTTGATCCACACTTTGTGTGCACCTAAATTTTAAGGGCAGGGTATAAATCATGATGAGGAGCTTACCATTCTTCACTGAGGGTGTGGAGGGGGTGGCAATGACAGTCTCTGTGTGAGCAACCGTATGTAGGTCCGGCGTAATGACTTCCCCTTCAGTATCCGAAAACGCACCTTCTTCCACACTGGACACATTAGTTGTTTGAGAACTGCGTCTTGCACCAATTGACCTTACACTTAGTATTTCAACAGGTATACTTGGTCCCAGGTCATCCTGCTGAAATAAAACGCAATTACAATATATTAAACATATTCAGCCTGAAAAGTCAAGACTTCTCACTACGCTCTACAGGCATACATGCCCAAGTCTCACATGAATTTAATTCCTTTTAACCCTGAAGGCTTGATGCAAAAGCTTTACACACTGAAAAATTACTTGAGAACACTATGAATTAATAACATTTTAGGTTCCCTTCGTTACGACCTCCTGAAGTAAAATGTAGAATATAGACAGCCAAAGCAAAGTGTGAAACCACGCACCTACGTTTGCGACATAGCAAGCTTCTTGTCATAGGTACTTCATTTATTTAAATTTTTTGGGGGGAAACAAGTCATCATAAATTCTTGATGAATGCTTTGATTTCCCTTCTGGGTTAACGGAACAATTACATAGGAGTGGCAAATGTTAAAACACCACAATAGCGATACGCGGTTCCACACTTTGGCCATGGATATTCTATCAACCTGCGATTTATAATAAAAACCGATGGATAAAAATTCAAAACAGAGAATCAGAAACTCACCTCCATATCACACTCATCCGTATCTTGATATCTGAGCTGGACCTGCTGTGCAATATCCCGAATCCGATCCGGATAGAGCTGGGTCTCTAGAGATCGGATTTGGTCTTCGAGGATCATGCGCAAGCCGCGCTCCCTGTCCAGTTGGACCCTAAGCTCCATCATTTCCTGAGCGTTGGAGGCTTGAGCCTCGTCTTTGACTGCCGTTATCGGTAGGGACGTTGTCACAGTGACTGCTCCTGGATTTGCTAGGGTTAGTGGCTCAGGGGACATTGGACCAATGCCTTCGTCGCTGGATTCCGAGATCGCTATATTGTTCGCCATGACGGCTCCTGAAACAACAAACCAAACGTATTAATCCCCTACAATTAAAGCTTTTATCCATAAGTTGGTCCATGACATTTTCTATTGCTCTTCGTCTATAACTTTCTCAATAACATTATTTGGACCGCGTTAAACAGAAAGGAACCAAGCCACTTCAGCTATTGCCAAATATAATTGGGCAATTTAATTTTATACATGAAAACGGTTGTGCGGATTTTTAAGCAAATTTCAGTAAATTTTCTACATCGTGCGAAACAAATTCTTTAAAATTTTTAAAGTAAAAAAATTCCGGAGCTTATTATGTCTAGAAGACTTTGATTTTGAATGCCCACCTCACCTTCATTCCAGGTTATTCACTTTCTCTCGCTGATGAAATATTTCGTTTCACAAAATCAGCAAAATTTCAACCTTTTCAGAAAACTCCAGGGTCTCCAGAATAACTTTCAGACATCGATTAGAGGTTTTCGTACGCTACAAAAAGTAATATCCGAACAAAAGCGCAAGATCTGGGATGGAATCCTGGCGGGACTTAATTGGGACCCTGGCTCGCCACGTGTAGCTTGTGGCGTATCCTCTCATTTGAAGGAACTTTAAAGCATTGATGAAATGCAGCTCGACTGCCGTGTGCCCAGGCTTGCTAATAGCGCGCACACGCCGTGAACCGTTCGCGCTCGGGCTGAGTGCTTGTAGAACAAGTTAAAGGACAAAATAACAATCTGATCAGCCATCAGTCTGTTTATTAAAAGGACCCTTAAAGGTGATTCGATGGACGCCATATTTTGTGTCAGAGCGACATGTAATATATCGCATCAATTGCTTCCATTCTTTCAGCTACTCGTCATTTTTCTCGAAGTTTAAGATCGCAATTCTCTTGTAAGGAGACTAAAAAATTCACTTACCAATTTTGACAAACAAATTCAACATAATGGAAGCGTGGTTTTCATAGAGGAAAAATATCGCATTAGATACTGATATCGAAACTGCACTAGAATGCGATATTTTTCCTCTAAAAAAACCACGCCTTCATTACGCTGAATTTGTTTGTCAAAATTGGTAAGTGAATTGATCCACTGACTGGTTGATTGGTTGGTGATTGATTGGTGATTGGTGGTTAGTCTCCTTACAACAGGACTGCAATCTTAAACTTCGAGAAAAATGACGAGTATGAAAAAATAGAACCAATCGATGCGATATGTAGTATGTCGTTCTGACACAAAATATAGCGTCCACCGAATCACCTCAATCATGCTAAACAAACGTTCTTTGCAGTAAACTGAAAAAAGTACGGCAAATGTAACCAGAGGAATGATAAACTTCATCATAAGTCTACTTGATTTTTTTGACTGAAAAAAACATGCAACATTCACAAGGGTTGGGCCAAGACACCTTTACTAACCTGATTCAGTCTTACGCTTTTTGACAGCCGACACTGTGCTTTCACCTTCTTGCTGGTTGATAAGTCTTTTAAGCTGGCAATTTTGCGATAGTAGTCTTGTTTTTTCTTGCTCTAACTGATAAATGTACTCGGCGGTCTGTTGCAGAATGGCCGCCTGAAACAAACAGAAAAGCAAAGACATGTTAAAAAACACTTTAATACGTGTACAGTATACCTTACACCTTGTTTTGCTTACAATCAGACACCAAAACTTATGATTAAAAGTAAGGCGTGCGTTTGCCTTTGAAAGAAATGAAATCAAAGAAGGGAGAAAATGTTGATTTTTTCTTGAGACGTCGCAAAATGTTTCGGTGGATTGAATTTTAAAGTTATTTAGTATAAAATTACAGTCAGAAGTAAGCCCGAAGAAATTTCCCGTAAATAACCTGAGTGAAACTCGAAGTCGTTTATCGAAATGACATCGATACACGGAATTTTTAACCCTAGTTTTCCCTTGACGAGATTGAAAAAATGACTTCCGCATAAGGGGGAAAAATCTATAATGAGGGCTGAACTTCAGTTCGTACAGAACATTAGAACATCGAAGTTTCCAGTCCAGGTAACAGTTGCGTGGCGTGCTTCGCGCTCTATAGATTGATCTGCCATTTAACCCTATGGAAAAGGATCGGTAAACAGGGTGTTCGCGACGACCTAATTAATTGATCTTCTACCGTAGCTTCAAATGGGGAAATGTCGATAATCGATCGATCATTCACGCCTTGCCACTGGTGGTTCAGGTAACCGATATTTTCCGTCCTAGGGCCTGAACTTCAGACGACCCACGTCTTTCGTAAAGAATACGAATGGCAGTGCAGCTATAAAAAACTCCCGTAACCTGAACTAAATTTCAATTCCCACGACTGAAAAATTCATTCCTCTAGGTGGTGAACCTTAAGGAAAGGTTGTCGCAGAATTTACAGGGTGAAATTCCCTGAAATTTCCCGGACACATTTTGGTAATATTCCCTGACAATAGAAGACATGCCAGATGGTTTTATTAACCATTTTCTACTGTCTAAGTACTGTCTAACCACTTTCTAAGTCTTATTGACTTAGTAGAAATAGTTTCCGGCAAAATGTGTTGTTTGAAACAGCGAACCCATTCTAGACAGCAAATAAAGGTGACCCAAGAATTTTCCCCCGACATTTTCGTCATTTTCCCTGACATTTCCAGGTTTTCCCTGCTTTATGAAATTCCTTGACATTTCCCGGTTTTCCCGATATTCCCTGACTGTGCCAACTCTGTTAAGATTTTTTGGATTTTTTTCCCCAGCGGTGCAACTTTCAGTTTCAGAACGCACAGCAAACCGTCGACGCGTGCGCTACACGCAAGAGCTGACTTCCAGACCTGGACCAGCGAAAAA